CTCTCAGGGGCTCCTCCGGCGAACGCTACCTTCCAAAGACAATGGGAGGAACTCTTGGGCAGAACCCTCTCACCATCACAATGGGTGAAGGTGCTCTTGTGGCAAGATAAAAGTTCCACCAGCTCTCATTATCAAGAGATGAATTATAAGCTAATAGCTCTCTGGTATAAAACACCCATTCTGCTCTACAGAATTTTCCTCACAACTCCCCCGACCTGCTGGAGGTGTCAGGTGGACAGGGGGACGATAATACACCTATGGTGGGAATGACTGAATATTACCCCCTATTGGGAACAGGTGAAAGCGGACGTGCAAACAGTCGTTGGTGGCACGACCGAATGGTCAGCCGAACTGGCCTTACTACATATCTCCTCAATCTGTCTCCCGATATAAAAAGTAAATTTTCCGCCACCTACTAAATGCAACCAAGTCTCTCATACCGGTTTATTGGAAGTGGTCTGAGATCCCTACTAGGGAAGAGTGGATTCACAGAGTTGAGGACATGCAGGCGGCGGAGGCGCTCCATACTTCATTGGTTTGTAGGGGGAACAAACACGCAGAGGCATAGCAAACATGGTTTGGGTTAAAGCAGGTGCTCAGTAGAGTAATATGACACCCGACGTGGGAAGGGGGGACATTGGGAAGGATCAGGCCCCTCAGATGTGGACCTTACTTTCCTTCTACTTTTTAATAAACTTATTTCTCTCTAACTTCACTCATATCATGTTAGTAGCCCACTACTATTCTTCTAGGTATCTGAAAGGTGGCAATATCTGGAAGGGAAGCGGAACACATGGACACAAAATGATCATCTTGTGTCCGCACAGATGTTCTGTCTTTGGTCACTTACGCATTTACCCTGAGGAATAGCCCCAGGGGAGATTTTCCACAACATTAGATATTGGAATTATGTGAACGGCAAGTATCGTAGTAAATGTATGCATCTAAATTCTTGTTATTGTTCTTGCTATGAGGCCTGCATGCCTACTTTACTTCTCTCATGTCCTTTTTCATTTAAATTCTTGCAAAAAAAAACATTAACTATAAAGATTTACAAAAAATATTCTTGATTAATAGTCCTGGTGGTCCCATTATTTCATCAATAGATTAAAAAAAAATATGCCCAAAATTTACCGGCATATATCAGAGATGATGGCCACGTTATCCAATTTGACCTCTGCATTCAAATGGAATCAGAGGTTTCTTTGAGACCCAGTAGATGTTAGTGTGCATTGTATTAAAATATGGCACACAATTTGAGCCACATGTCTTTGATTTTTTTAAAATCTATTTAATGATACCATATTACCAAAAGGGCAGGTTATAAACAATAATGTTTATTTTGATAATACATTTTATCTTCAAATTAACAGAACAGCAATGGGGGCCAGTTTTGCTCCCTCCTATGACAACCTCTTTATGGGTTACTGGTAGCAGTTGTTTATATAGACCAATAATCCATGGAGGGAGCGGCTGGCTTTCCATCATTGTTTTATTGACAATATTTTGATGAATACCATGCTGCCGCCCATCCCATGTGTTCCCTATTAAGGGTTAATAAGTATATAGGGGTGTATATAAAAAAAATACCCATCTCATTATCTCATTAGAGATATCTTTGCCAGAAGCTCAAGGAAGCAAGGTGAAGGGTCAGTGTAGGACCCACTTAAGAGGGTCTGCCTTGACGTTGGCAGGTGGGCATTCCCTCCAATGGCCATTGGAGTAACTAAATGACCTCCATTTGTTTAAATATACATAGGAATTAAGGAGAGTGTGCAGGTAACTTTTTTTTCTTTGTTCTTTGTTTTTACTATATATATTGGGGCTGATGTGTACCGTGGTCGTTGCTGCCGCCCAGGAGTGATGGGAGTGAGCGCAGGACTGATCTTTTTTGTATTAATATTTTGATCATAAGGGATCGCCCACAGGATGGACTTAAAACAGGATTTACTTTCCATGCTGCCCCAAGGCCAGTTTCCTCAATTCCCTGCCCACCCCACCCTGCTATATATACAATCCAAGAAAATGCACTCACAGGTATTAATAATAATAATTCATTTATTGTTCAATGTAATACACCAATATTTATTGATGTTTCAGTCCAATGTAAGACTTTTCTCAAAACCCGCCCTGAGCACCGCCATTCAATAGTTAACCCCAAATCCGATACTTCTATAGCCAAGCATTTTAGACTTTACTACAATTCTAATCCTACACATTTAACTGCTACTGGCATCTATAGTACCTCGCTGTTACAGGTGTCTAGCCTTTCTAAGGGGATAAACAAAATGGATTTATCTATTAAATACTCTGTATCCCAAAGGCCTCAATGAAGAACTGAATGGTAAAGTGTTATAAGGTTGCTACATTGGTTTATGCTGTAAATTTATTATAGATACTTGTAAGCAAAATTGTGAATAATGAGTGTTCTCATATCCCTACAAATCAGCTTTTTGGTTTTGATTAGTATTTTAACGACCATATAGGTGTGTGTATATTGTATTAGTATTTTAACGACCATATAGGTGTGTGTATATTGTATATGTTTAACCAGTGTTAATCACTAAACTAGACTGCAAGTGTACAGATACAACACAGAATAACTGCAATGATTTTTGTTAACATATTATTTCTTTTTATAAATTACCTTTTTTTTAATTGATTATCAGTTTTTCAAACCTTGGATTAATGTTTTTCTTTTTCTTTTTTTTAGATTTCTGATATTTAGAAGCAACATGCCTCTTTAAATGTGAGACTTACTTATCAATAATTTATTTAATTGCTTCTGCTATAAAGAACCTTGGTACACTTTGAGAAGGTACCTGTGGGGAATGAAATGCACTGACACCGTCACACTAGCCTGGCCACGTTTTGTTACAGACTTTGTCTGCGTCAACCCTCTACCCAGAGTATTATTACGCATTATATGAGTTGCATACTTCTTTCACCCAGCAGGTTTGCATGCCAAAGGCGTTTAACACTTGGATGCCCCTTCTTTTTTGGCGATTCGGATGCATGATCCTCCCAACTCCTCTACACACAATTATATACTTTTACCTTTTACCAAGTACCTGAGTACCTGGGTTTTTAGGGAGGGTCACTTAGACTATAGACTTCTGTTGCTTTTTGATTATCAGCTGTTGGACTTCTGCTCTTTTTGTTTTGTTTACCTGCAACAGTGCTTATGTTCCTACAACGACAGGGGCTAGTCTACTTAACCTTGCTTTTAGTGTGTTTTTATTTTATAATTACAGTATTTTCATCTATTTTATTCAATAAAATTATGTTATCCATTTTATGTTATATTTATATATACCCTGAGTTATATATCTTCGTATATCTGTAGAATTTTCACAATTGATCCATTTAATAGACATCGTATATATATATCTAAAATAACAGACACTAGTCATGTTTGGACATCTTTTGTAAGGCATGTTCTCCCCATTCTGAATTTGAACGGGAGGCATGATTATTCACAACTGCCTTATTATTATTGTTCTTTACTTATAAACCTTAGCAGAAATTGTCTCCTGACTGTAAGTTGTCACTTAACAAATCAAAAAGTCTGCTGAGCAACAAAATTGCCAATATGTGCAGAGTCTGAGAAAAAATAAACATAAATGTCCTTTGGGGTTCAGAATTTCACACTTGGGTAGAGGGACATAGTTGGGTGACAAGCTTCAAAGGAAGAATTTACTTTGCAAGTCTTTTCCTATGATCTGACACATAACACATTCTTCTACAACCAAATTAACCCTAACAGTGCACTAATCAACCAGACCACCTCTACTAGGTTATCATTCCATGTATATACTACACACAACTTTTCTTTATTAACAATGTTTCTATAGTTAAACAATGAATCGTGATCGCTATGCATGACAAGATATTTATTCTGTAGCTCCTTAGAATGATACATTAGGGATGTAAAACAAGTACAGACATACAAAGTAATATTGACAGAGACGAGCGGTGAAGAGGCCCTGCTCAAACAATCTTTGAGAAAGAGAAAGAACACAATAGGATGAAAAATGTATCACAGGAAAACAAATTGGAGTCTGTTTAACTAATTCTTAATGTTTAAAGGTCACTTGTAGTGTTTGATAAATATGGAGAGATTATAATTGATTTTATTTGTTCTTTGTCTCTCACTGTCTGATACTATTATATTTACAGAGAATGCACTATGTATGAGGCTAACATGTCCAGCAGTTTAATGGAATGATTGTTTTTTTGTAATGTTTTCCACTGGTTACATAAAGCCACAGTTACAATGATTTAGGATCTCAAGGAAGCTATTTCAACCACTCTAGAGCTTAAAGGGTGTGAATAGAGAGAATACACATTACAACAGTGACATTTTGAAGAAATACTGATATATTCCATTCTAGGGATAGCTATATTTAGCCTTCCATGTATTGAAGGTTACTTAACATGATTCTCTCTCTTTTGGGGCAGTAAATGGCCCACTGTCATCAAGAGGTTAGTTTTCCGTGCTTTTTCTACAGTTTACCCACAATGGAAATATTTGTATTTCTTTTTTTCAGCAGACTTTGCTACTGCCAAATATCCAACGTGTTTTTTGGAAAATTATGTTTCCCAGAATGCAATAAAAATAGTTTTTATATATATATAGATATATATATGACAAGCAACAGTGTATGTTTTCTAAATCACAGACCAAACTCTATGATTTCTTTTTTAATATTATTATTTTTTGCTGGATATTTTGTAAATCATAGCTTTATTAATAATGCATTTACCAATACAATACAAAAGAAAATATGATTCTCATAATTTACAGAAGAAGGAACTTTAGTAAATTCTAAGATAGAAATAAAGGAAAACTATTAATATTCTTCAAACATATGGGATGATTTTTATTAGTTCACATTATCAAAATACTTACATATAGAATTATGCATTTAGTAAATCAGATAAATAAAAACAAAATATAACGAAAGTGAGAATTTAAAAGTTAAGTTCAAAATAACCAAACCAAATTGGCCTTTTGGCTCAGATCAGGTGTAATATTTGTCCTTATCGGTTTAATATCTGATACAGCCCTTTATCTGGGGACCATATATTACATGGATTTTTGGGACAGGGAGATGGAAGAAGGGCTTGCTCTGTCCTCTCAATGCATTAACCTGAAATTGCAGTAACTCCATGACCAGTGTACCTCTCTATAAAAAGTAATAAATATAAAAAATGGCCAAACTGAGAAAAATTCTCTCTTTCAGCAATACTTCTGGTTCTGGTACATTGGTTTTAAATTTGAAATTCACTTTGAATTTCTCACTCCAGTAAATAAACAAAGAAATCTTATGTTTTCCGTGGAAAATAACGAACTAATTATTTGCACAAATATACAAAAAGGTGGAGTATCTTACATACGCATATGGAGGTAGATCTTTGTAAGAATAAAATCCTACAATAAAACATAAAAAAGACAAATAATAGTGCAATATCGTTTGTACTGCCTTTTGGAATACCAAATTATTCTGATGAATTTACACTCACAAGTGTGGAGCCATGTAAGATACTCCACCTTTTTATATATTTGTGATTTCTATTATTGGTGTTGGTTAAGGGGACCCCACCGAGGCGTTAGAGTATCATAACATTTGCACAAGCTTACACTTGATATCTGTATTCTGTCTTTTGCTATAATTATTTACACAGTTCCTCATACAATGCATAGATGTTTAGGTTCTTTCTACATATACAGTGAAACCAAAATAAAGGGCACACTCTTTTTGAGTAGGTTTGCCTATCTATGTATATATAGTAGTTGGTACTCTTTTTGTCTTTCTTCTTTCTACATCTAGCCAGATCTTATATTGTATTTTGAGATTTTTAGGTGCTGTTTTTTAATGTCCTTATAAATACTCCACTCTCCATTTGGGAGGAGTTTGAGCACAAAAAAGTAACATGGGTAAAAAATATTACCAACTTGGCTAGTTAGCATTATCTTTTTCTATTTGCCACAAATCACTGCTTTTTGAATAATCAGTGAATAATCTTGAATAAATCAGTTCAGCAATGAGGTTATGCAATGATGTATTCATATTTTAATTTGGCTAACTGAAATCTTTATATAAAAATAAAACCAACAACACCTTTTGTATTTTGGTGCACTCTGGTTCCAACAGTGACGACCCTCAGAGTCTGTTGCAAAGCTCTTGCATTAATAGCATGATTTTCCATAGCCAAGGTCGAGATGGGTACCCAAGCTATCTAGCCCTGTCCCTAAACTTCTATAACCCTAACCTTAGCAGTGTTATTTTTATAGGAACACTCCAGGCACTATAACCACTACAGCCCATTGTAGTCCTTATTATTATTATTTTTTTATTATTTATATAGCGCCATCAGATTCCGTGGCGCAGTACAATGGGTGGACTAACAGACATGCAATTGTAACCAGACAACTCGACGTACAGGAACAGAGAGGTGGAGGGCCCTGCTCAATGAGCTTACATTCTAGAGGGAGTGGGGTATAGTGACACAAAGGGTAAAAGTAGGGGTACAAAGTAGGTTGTTAGAAAAGTATTCACTGAGGGCTTAGTAGGTAATTTTGACAGTTGCAGGAGAGGAGTCATGGAGGGTGGGGGATAAAAACCTGCTTACAGTTTAATTGATATGCTTTCTTGAAGAAGTGAGTTTTCAGTGATATTTTGAATGAGTGGAGACTGGGTGAAATTCTTACGGAGAAGGGAAGGGAGTTTCACAGAAGAGGTGCAGCCCTGGATGGTGCCAGGAGTGCCCTGGTGCTGTCCAGCAGTAAGTAGTCATTAAACTTTTTTTAGTACTGCATGCACCCAGAACCACAGCCTTTGATTCTGTTCCTCTCCTGCAGGAGAATCTGGTTAGATCTACAGAGCTATGTATGGCCAGGCAGGAAAAGACTGAAAGCATGGACTACAAACATGAGTGTCTAGCAGGACCTAGACACATTGTCAAATTGTACAAGAATGTCTTAACCACTTACCAAGGGATAACGCCAAGGCACTCCTGGCACCGAAATTACTACAGTGGCCTATAGTGGTTATAGTGGTTAATTGATTAACAATGCTCAGCATTTAAACACTTATACTCATTAACAGTAATTGCTTGAGTAGAAATCTTTTTGCAGTTCATTTTGATGAATTGTTTGAGACCAACCTAGATACAGAACAGACCATAATGTTGCACAGTACTCCATTTGGTCTTTTCTACATACAGACCATAATGGTGCCCAGAAAATCTACTTCTCTTGCATGTTTTCCCCAGGCTGTGATTCTCTGGGCTTCATTGAGATATTTGTCTGAACAGTAAAGAAAGTATTGGCTCCATGCTTATAACCAACCCTTAATCTTCCTTGAAGCCAATGGGACAAGCACCACACCTTAATGGCAGGTGTACTGTAAGTGTGTGAGTGTCTCCCATAGATTCTGAAGGCTATATGCTGCTATGTATTGTAGTGAAAGCTTCTGACAAAAGTACAAGTAAGTAATATCAGTGAAGTAGGTAGAGGAACAAGTGTAAAATATATATTTTTTAACACCATTCAAATTAAACTTATATAAGCTATCTTCTTTCTGCATGCTAGTAAATAGTGTGTCTGGTATGTCCCTTTAATGGGTTTGTTACTTCTGTATCATGAGAAGCCCTTTAAATTATGAGTGAATTCATTTAAACCACTTACAGTCCTATGAGACAAAGCACTCGCATGTTTATAAACATATTATAAACCACTCTGCTTATAGTGAGAAATGTGTGACCTTTGAAAATGAGACATGGAAAGTAAATATTTTGGTATCATATAAAGATAATATTTAAAATTTCATTTTCAAATGAAAGATTGCACATTGTGAATTCCTCTGCCATCCTGTATAATGTCTTTTTTATGTTGCCAATGACTCTTCAGAGGACACTGGAAAGACCAAAAAAAATCCCACAAAATATAACCAAAATGACATTAGAAATAAAACAAATAATACACTTGGCACAGACACAGGTATAAGTACAGCTCTAACTTGCAGCCACGGATCTAGCAGTGTTTGCAGAGGTTTATAATACCCATTCTTGCATGTTGATTTATGTATATAAACAATCTAAAGCCTTATAAATTGTGTTCTACTGTGTGTGCAGGATAACATGATGTCAGGACAACATCTTACTAACAAGCTATGCGTTCCCCTAACATGAAAGAGGAATGCAGGGCAAAGAGACTATTAAACTCTACAGCAGCTGAGAGATTTGATGGATGTGGCTATAATATTTAATTATATATATATATACAACACAAATACATGTTGTGGTACTCTGGATCTCTTATTAAACAAATGGCAGTCACCTGGTGCCTCCTTCTCATTTTCCTTATGCAATATTAAGTGGCTGAATACATTCACTTATTCAATATACGTAGCATTGCAAGGCACTGCATTCTAAAACAGCCATACTAAGAGAGATTATTATTATAATTATTTATAATGCATCAACTAATTCCGTAGCACTGTACAGTAGCTGGACTTACAGACATGTATTTGCAACAAAGCGAAATGGATGGAGAGCTGCCCAAAGACTGGCTTTGGATGCAGGTCAAAAGGTAACTGACGTTTATTTTTAATCAAAGCAAAATAAAATCACTGCAAAACATATTTGCAGCATTCCTTAAAGCCTAGAATGCATCTATCAATTGCTTTTCTTTAGTGCAAAGGTCAAGTATTAATGGAACACTGCCAGATCTCTAGCCCTTCACTTGCCTGCTACCATTTAATTTACACTTGGTCTGAAGCGTGTATTGTCCCTTGGGCTGCAGCTTGAAAAAGCCAGTTTAGTGAATGGGGAGTCACTGATTGGCTGAGAGCATCAGCCACAGAAGCTGGATGCCACCAGAGAGGGAGCGTAGATCGCCACTGTAGGCTACTTTGGGGTTAAACCGTTCGAGGATTTAGATTAAGTTGTTTTGGTGTTTGAAGTGTCCCTTTAAGCGGTGAGATATAAGTAACGGGAGCCTTGGCAGTCCAGTCAGCCGCCTATGTTTGATAAAAGCTATAGAACCAGTTAATGAAAGGTAAAACAATCTGCCGTCCCAGCTCCTCCAGTGTCTGTGTGTGAGGCTGGCCAGGAAGTAGAAGGCATCACTACCCATCTGCCCACTTACAGCCTCTCACACAGGAAATGACTTGCAGGAGGAGAAGGAACAGCATTGAGTGATGCACACTGTAAACCAGCCCATGTTTAATGGGGTGACTGGACTACAAGAGACCTAGGGTGGTGAGTACTTACTCCAAATAAACCTTCAAACTCCATGTGATCTTAACAACCCTTCTTCCTTAGCCCCCACACCCAATACCTAAACAAACCCTTTCCTTAGTCCCTAATTTGGGCTCCCAACGCCTTAACCTCAAAGGACCACTATAGCTTTAGACATAAAACCTGCATTCCTAACATTAAAGTGCTTCTGTTACTAGTTATTTACAGGTCTAGTCTCCCCCCAACCTCCCATTTGTCATAAAAATTATTATACAAAAGGTTTTACTCACCTTTTTCCCGCACCCTTTTTCCGTCTCCCTTGGCACTATTCTCCTATCTGCCTTTGTGACATCATGGCCTCTTTTGGCAATGGCCTAGTCCTACTATAGTAACCCTTTAATGCTTTCCTATTAGAAAGCATTGAACTGGCTGAGATCATCATAGCTCTATAGCAACAGGGCACTGTAGGAAATGCTGCCTATGTTTGATAAAAGCTATAGAACCAGTTATTGAAAGGGTAAAACAATCTGCCGTCCCAGCTCCTCCAGTGTCTGTGTGTGAGGCTGGCCAGGAAGTAGAAGGCATCACTACCCATCTGCCCACTTACAGCCTCTCACACAGGAAATGACTTGCAGGAGGAGAAGGAACAGCATTGAGTGATGCACACTGTAAACCAGCCCATGTTTAATGGGGTGACTGGACTACAAGAGACCTAGGGTGGTGAGTACTTACTCCAAATAAACCTTCAAACTCCATGTGATCTTAACAACCCTTCTTCCTTAGCCCCCACACCCAATACCTAAACAAACCCTTTCCTTAGTCCCTAATTTGGGCTCCCAACGCCTTAACCTCAAAGGACCACTATAGCTTTAGACATAAAACCTGCATTCCTAACATTAAAGTGCTTCTGTTACTAGTTATTTACAGGTCTAGTCTCCCCCCAA